GCTGCGGCGGCGGACACCGGTCCTCGGGGCGGCTCCCCTTCCCCGCTGCTGTGGTGCCTCCGTGGTAGCCCCAGCCCGCCCGCTCCGCGGCTCTTGACTCTGGAACGTAATGATGGCGTCGTAAATGCCGGTAGTCCGCCACCAGTCGCTTTGATGGGCAGCCTGGGCGTTAGTTGCCTTCGGCCTGGCAGTACGGCACAGAGCCTGCTGAAGGTGGCCCCTGGAAATAGCCAGAGCGTGTTTGGTCCGTGTGTTTAGGTTAAATCCAGAGACGCAGGCACAGTCTGGTGGAAGCCCCTGGAAGAGATGCGTCCTCCTGGTAGCACCCTTGATGGTTGGACTCGATGATCCCAAGGGTCTTTTCCAACCTGAATGATTCTGTGATTCTATGATTCTATGGTAGGACAGAAATCCGAACTCTCTAACTCCCTGGCAGAAATTATTTCCATAGTTACAACAGCAGAAAATAGTTGTTGAGCCCCTGTGGAGCCTGAGCACATGTTTGTGCAGTCACAGGCCTGTGTGGGGACTCGTGACAAAACAGCCTCAGCCCTAGCTGCACCTTTCTATGCAAGGGGGTGAAATGCAAGGCCACTTCTCACCCCCCAGTGAATAAAAGGCTCTAGCCTTGGGAACCACAGTAGCTTTGCTCTTAAAAAGCCCCGATGTGTGCTCCAAGGTTAATGTATCTTTATTTTCCAGCTGGCCTTTCTCTGCCTTCCCTGTCCCCCTCCAAGCTGTTTTTCCCAGGGCATGATGTTGGGAAGAAGCCCCAGGGACCCACCTCCCCACCCTCACTTCAGGCCTACCCTGGGTAGCATTTTTAACACTGCTCTTTTGAAACCTCAAAACATACAAAACAACACCCCAAAACCAAAAAATACAGTGACAAACGTCACATTCACCAATAAATGGTTTCTTAAAGCAGGTCAAACTTCTTGCCGCGTACACTGACTGAAGTTCCTTTTTGATTTTCCTCAGGTCCTTTGTTCAGCCCTGGCTTGCAGATGGATCAGAGAGTCACAGAATCATCTCGGCTGGAAAAGCTGTTGAAGCTCCTCCTGTTCAACCATGAACCTCCCACTGACGACCGTTCCCAACTCCACCAGATCCCTCAGCGCTGGCTCAACCCGACTCTTCAACCCCTCCAGGGATGGGGACTCCCCCCTGCCCTGGGCAGCCCATTCCAACGCCCAACAGCCCCTTCTGGGAAGAAATGCTTCCTAAGAGCCAGTCTGACCCTGCACTGGTGCAGCTTGAGGTCATTCCCTCTTGTCCTGGCACTTGTTCTTTGGTTCAAGAGACTCATGCCCAGCTCTCTGCACCCTCCTTTCAGGGAGCTGTAGAGGGCGATGAGGTCTCCCCTCAGCCTCCTCTTCTCCAGACTAAACCCCCCCAGTTCCCTCAGCCGCTTCCCATCAGACCTGTGCTCCAGACCCTGCACCAGCTCCATTGCCCTTCTCTGGACACGCTCGAGTCATTCAATGGCCTTTTTGGGGTGAGGGGCCAAAAACTGAACACAGGAATTGAGGTGCGGCCTCACCAGTGCCGAGTACAGGGGTCAGATCCCTTCCCTGTCCCTGCTGGACACGCTATTGCTGACACAAGCCAGGATGCCACTGGCCTTCTTGGCCACCTGGGCACATTGCTGGCTCATGTTCAGCCAGCTGTCAATCAACACCCCCAGATCCCTCTCTGACTGGCTCTGGATGAAAGAGGATGTGCCAGAGGATGAGAAGAGTGAGGCCTGGGAAAGCCCAGCTGCTCCCAACAGGAAGGCCAGCATCGGTGAGTCCAGCTCCTGGGTGGCAGCTGCTCCCACCCAGCCAAGGGGTCAATGAGCGTGGCTGGTTGTGGACAGCATGGAACTGCAAGGCAAGGTGTGCCACACCAATGCATGGCTGGTGATCCTCCTCCTGGGTACCAGGGACACAGGGAAATGTGAGGAGAGGTCCCTGGGAAGGTGATGCTACTTGGAAAGGTGCCATATCCAGTTTAAGCATCAGCTCACGACCAAGTGTACCTGTATGCTAGAAGGTTGAAAATAAAAAAATATCTCTGAGGATGGAGATCCCACAGCCCCCCCGAATCCCTGCTCCCATTGTGCTGCTTGTTCAGATGGAGTATGGCAGTGGCTGGGACACACCAGAAAAGACTTAATGTTCATCAGGGATGGAAAATAACACCGGGAAAACTTCTATTATGTTACTGTAGGCTGGGTGAGCATCATTCAGGAGCAAAGCACCAAAATGACTTCTCTGATCACCAAAATCAGTGACTCAAGGGAGCAAATGCTCTAAGAGTGCCCAGCTGGGTGCACATCCGGATGCCCTGCTCCCCACCCCGGCTGCAAAAACCACAACTGTCTCACAGTTGGCGGCAGGGAGAAACACAATCCACTCTAGTAAAAATAAAAAGGGGAACTAATAAAAATAAAGATGATTGAAAGACAATATAAAAAGGAATGTTTAACAGCTTAAAATGCTTACAGTCAGGTTGGGGAGTGTACACACTGTGACTAAGCATGTACATGTCTCCAAAAGGTGACCACTCCCTTCACCTGCAGCAGGCTTAAACAGCAGCAAGGGGAAAAAAAAAGGTAGAAGCAAAAAGACATCCTCTAAAAAATTGAAGTTGTTCCCAAACTGGGAAGTATCAAAGATTAAAATCTCAAGCAGGTGAAACCCACACTGAAGGAGCATGTGTAGCGAGCAAGGGAGATTAGACACCAGCGTCCTAATGCTGTCTACTCCAGCCCTGGCTTGCTTCATCTTGGACACCTTGTCCCATGTGTGATTGTGAAAGCACGGACACAGCATAAGCGTAGCCACTCATCGACTAATACATATAGTAAATAGGCAGGATTAAGGAGCTACTGGGCTAAACACTGATATGCTGGAGGCAGGAGGGAGCGGATCTGTGAAGGGTTTCCTGGGAATTGTAGGGACAGTGCTTTGCTGTGGATGTCCACTCAAGGCCAAAGCTGCAAGAGAGCCTTGGGAATGGCTCAGCAGAAACTGGGAGTATGCCAGGGAGCTCCAGCTTTGGGCTACAAGGAGCTATGGCATACCCGCTCTGCTCCAGCTCAGGAGGCTGCCAGCTCTCCCGCCCCCTTCCCTCCACCTTTTGTCAGCAGGAGCAGAGTGCTTTGACAAACCCCATGGAATAATTGAAGAGAAAAGAGCAGCCCAACAAAGGCCTTATGCAATACAAAAGGAAAAATTACGACAGCTCATCTCACTTGAGCACACTTCCTTCCCCCAGATCTGCCACCAGCAATGCCGGCAGGAAGCCCCACCAGCTTCACACACCGCAGCCCACCCGCTCCAGGGCTGGGGGCTGCTCTGCGGCACCCAGCTGCAGCCACTCGCTCTTTCCGAGCAAGCTGGGGTGGGTACTCCAGCTCCCAGCAGGGTTGTCCTGGGGCTCCATCCTCTCTGGATCCTGCTCCAGCCAGGCAATAGCTGTTCTGATGCTCCCATCCCCCTGCAAGCACTGCTACAACTCTTTCTCACTACACTCTGCACCAGAGCTCTGTTGTCTTCTTTAATAACACTAACCTATGGAGCATTCATCTAGTGCTCAAAGATTTGCTACTAGCATTGCGATTCTCTTTGCTTGCTGCAAAAATAAACCCAGTTCCATCACTGTAAGACAGCAGCAGGTGAAATGCATTGGTGCCTTATAATGTATCGCGGTCACTCAACGTTACCTTGCTGGAAGGGAACCTACAAAGCAATTAACAAAAACTTCGCATTAATGACCTTTATAAAAATCTACAATCCTCTACATTTTCTAAACGACCTCTTTTTGGTTTTATGTTAGGGCCCTAAAGAGGTTAAGAGATCGTTGCCAGGAGCCGGTTCCTCTCTGCTCAGGGAAATACTGTTGTGGGTGCATTGGGAGGAGTTATTGCAGCCTTCACAACAAAATTTGAAAGCTGCTTAAGAAAAGCCACACAGCCCTGATCTGCACCACAGCAAGAACAGCACTGGCATCCTCCACCAAGCAAGGAGGCCTCGCTACCCCAGCAGCGAGCCCCAACATAAAAATTTCAGAGTCCAACCCAGAGTCTGAGGGGAGCCAGCTCCCTGTCTTCTCCACCCCCAGGGCTACTGGTAGCTTCCAATGGAACCAGTTTTCCCCACTACCAGCTGGGGGACTGGACTGGCCCTCAGCACTGCTGTGAAAGGTTAAAAAGTGGAGAAAAAAGGGCAAGTTTTGGGTAGGGCTGCTTTCTGGGGTGCAGAGGGAGGGCTGCAGCCCCCCTGGTGTAGCCCAGGGAGGAGATCACTCCAGTCCTGCAGGGAACACAAGTGGGGATGGTTGAGTTTTTTTGGGGGAACACGCCCTCCCACAGCCAGTGCTCTGACTTCCTCCTTTCTGCCCCAGCCGCCTGTAAGACAGAAATAGGAAGGAAGGATTGGGGTGCGTCACAAAGCTCCTGATGCCCGCCTGCTTTTCCCAGCCAAGCTTAAGAAGCTGAGACCATCCTCATCCCAGCCCAAGCACTGGACAGAGGAAAGGCTTGATACAAGGCAAGTACAGCATTTCCATTTTCTTTGCTTTTGTTCCTCCTTTCTGGGAGGG